CTGTCTGTGAAGGGTCGAGTGTATGCTGCAGCAGTTCGGCCAGTCCTGTTCTACGGTGCAGAGACTTGGCCACTACGAGAACAGGATAAAAATAGATTTTCGGTGTTCGAACACCGCTGTCTACGTAGCATTGCACGTGTCTGGTGGGGTAACCGGACTAGCAATGCTGAGGTTAGGCGTAGAGTTTTAGGCAGTCGCGGTCGTCCACTAGAGCAAGTGATCGACTTCTATAGATTACGCTGGTTGGGACATGTGCTACGCATGTCACCAGATAGGTTGCCACGGTGAACGATGTCAAGGCTGGTAGCGATTGGAAAAAAACGAAGGGCGATCAAGCTATGACCTGGTATGAGGGTATGAAAACTTCAACCAGGAGACTAGGTCACATAGGCCCCGGTAGGCTCCCAGGCTGGGGACCTCGGGATGATGGTCACCGATGGTTAGCTACACTGAGTGATATGGCTGGGTGTCGCAAACAGTGGCGCTCGTGCATCCACTCGTTATTTTTCTAACACCACTCTATATGTATTCCCCATCTTGTGCTTGAATTTGCTTCGACATCCCAATCTTCACTTTGCTCTTTTATCCAAATGAGCAACCAAAGACAGCAAGCAAAACCGGCGCACGAAAGTGTATGGTTAATGATTTTAAAAACTGAGACTGAAACTCATAGCTCTTAAGCCCGTTGAAACAACCCACAGAGAACTGATTAACGTGTCTAGTTGGCATATCCTAGCAATTAAAGCACTGAGTGTGAACAGTCTTGAACAGTCACTAAATAGTGAACAGTCTTTTAAAACCTCGAGTGTTAAACATTTTGTTCTTTCATCCCAGAAGATTTGAGGGCGCTAAACTAGTAGCTGACGGTAGTGAAAAGAAAAAAAACAAATTTCCTGAAAATTCCCGTCGTGACATTGACAGAACACGAGTAGCGAACACGCTCGTTTTCGATAACTTCATCCTCCGGCTAATACAGTAATATACATCTAGTGAATAAACGTGCAACAAATAATGTCAGAAAGAATATGCGTTGATTGGACGGTAATGAACAAAGGATATCCCGAGAGATTTATTGAAAAAAAGCTATGTAAAAGAGCCAAAAGAACAACGGTAACTAGCGTAAGCCAAAAGTAAATCTATATACGTCTCCCGTTCAAACGTGACTACAAATGCGATTTGTTAACAAGACGCCTAGATAAGTCGATCGCTCGAACGTTTCCTGCGGAACGGTTACGTACACAATTCACCAGCCGATCTTTGTTGTCATTGAATCTCAAAGATAAATTGCCAATCCTCACTTCCTCCATGTTGACGTATTCTCTTGTTTGCTCATATCTGGCAAGCTACATAGGCAGGACCATCAGGCAGTTTTCTCAAAGAATCAAAGAACACAAACCCGCTTGGTTAAATACAGGAACCACAAGGACCGTTTAAAGTGCAATCCCGGTGCACCTCGTAGATACACAACATTAGATAACTAAGGATGTGTTCAAAATTATCTACAAGGTACCACCAAACCTCTCCGACAGTGCCATTTTGCGACAGCAGAAGCGGTAGCAATAAAGTTATTGCGACCAACTCTATGCTCACAAAACCAATTTAAAGCCCTACAGCTACCCTGGTCCAGACCCGACACTGAACGTCAATTCACCCATGACCCTTTGACCTAAGTGTGTGACCTCGCCCTTCCTGTTTCATCCCTCTTCCACTCCCTCTCTTTTCTCTGTTTTCACGAATCCCTGTTCTAAACCACGGATTAACAATTTTTGTTTTCACGTCTTTTCCAACCACTCCTCACCACGTCCGATCAACACATATTCTTTCTGACATTATTTGTTGCACGTTTATTCACTAAATGTATATTACTGTATTAGCCAGAGGATGAAGTTATCGAAGACGAGCTTGTTCGCTACTCGTGTTGGTCTGTCAAAAACAAATTTGTATAGTCGGTAGGACAGATAAGAAGTGAGCATAGCATCAACCCTGAAAAATAACTCCGCTTTGTTCCAATAACCCATCCTAGAAATGTTCGAAATAAAATCAATTCGCAACGTTGCGCATTTGCGCACACGAGGACGTTTAGTCCGTATCGTGATAACCAAATAAGAACAGTTGATGATTTAAACAGAACTGAAACGGTTGATCACCGCTCCCCATTCACTAGGTAGGCAGAGAAAAACCAACTCCTAGACAGGCTTCGGATGCACTCAGTTTCCAACCTGCTAGTTGAAATCACTTTCCGGGATAATTATATCATAACTGTGGCTTAAATAGATCAGTTCGATAGATTTGTCGCAAAATTCGTCCTTTTGCGCATTGGGACCTCCATTGATTGAAGATGAACAACCACTTTTTGATGTGGCTTCTCTTCCGAACACTAACTGAACCCCGGAGCTGCATAGTAAGCCTTAGCTTTGTCGTTTAGTACGCTAACTTCTCTGCTTTGGCCTAGCTTCATAGTGCGAAGGAAATATCTCGAGGACAGGCCCGGTGAAATTAAATGACTTCGACTACTAGGACCCTGAAATTGCGCCTCCAATACGCAGCACATATAGATCACAGGTGATTCCACTTTACGCGCAAAACAAGCTTGCTGACGCACCCGTATAAGGGTCCTAGATTCAAAGGTTGACAATCAGCAATTTTTACGATGGGGCACGATTTACAACGCTATTTGGCAATTGCGTTTGGCGAGTGAATAATTAGTTATCTGAGAGGATTCTATGATTGCAAAAGTGGAAATACAAGATAAAAAACTACATAGCGATGGTTCTCAGCGTCAGCTCTTCTCAGCTTTCCCTAAGCATGGAAGGTGTTCGACTTCGACCCACCCACTTTTCGAGGCAGAAACCCACGAAAAAACCCTAACCCAGACAGTTACGTAAGGATTCTTAAAGAGGTTAATCTTTATAACCTATATCCCGTTTAGGATTCATGCTGACCTACATTAAACTTGCCAGGGGAGGTTCCATAGAATGCTTCATCGGATGTAAAGTTTTCCAGAAAACGAATATTCACAAAAATATATCAAAGACTGCCTTGCTTGGTGATAAGGCAGCTTTGAATCTCTTTGCGGCTGAGGTATTCAGATATGGTATGCGCTTTGCATAATCCAAATGCAACTCGCCTGTACAAGTCCGATAAGACCATGTACCTGCACAAAACTTTTGTCTTGATCAGCCAGAGTAAGCTAATAACTTAAAACCACCTTGGGATAGTGATAGACAATGACAACTGGTGTTGTATAAGAGGCTACTTCAAGAACTGCGAAACCTATGGTAGCTTTTGCCAAGTTGCGATACCTGCGGCGCCACTATGACATCCAACGTTAATCCCAGGTAAAGGTGTACATTGCCGCATGACATTGCGGTTTGGAAGTCACATTCTTCAGCGTTAAGGATACTCAGAGACTGTTGTGTTCGACCACCGATGTCTTCGGAGGATTTTTCGTGTCCGGTGGGTACATCTGGTGGATAGTGACGAGATTTTTCGTCGTGTGCTGGGTGCTAATAAACGATCTCCGAATGAAGCAACCACCCTTCTATACTATACTCCGGGGGTTCGGACTTGTTTGTGCATTAGAAGAGCAAGGAACGGATTTTATTCCAAACTGATGTCTGAGACCTTAGGGCACGGTGTACGCGGTGGCCCACAGCGACAAAGGGGTTTTTCTTTGGGAACTCTGATCAAAGCCTTTGACTCAAGAGTTTGACCCATAAAATAGTGGGGAT